AGGTGACAGACAACAGAATTTCAGTCATTTCCTTTGAAAAGTTACCTCATCTCTTCTCGGAAATGTTGCCCTTATTCAGTTAGTATAACATGGCCTGCAGCTCACCAGGAGTAGCTGACACAGCCGTCTTTACAAACAGGCAGACCGGCTTAAATAAAGTCTTTGTTTGTAAGAGGCAGTGGTTTTATCTGGATCATACCTTGCAGCAGATCTTTTTCAAACACCTCTAACTACTTAAAGCATCCCAAAAGTATATCTGGGCATGTTTTATGTGTGTGTAAGGCCTTGGATATAGGGAAATCACACTTCTGCCCCAAACACAACCACTGCAGAAAAAGCTTGGACAGCCTGTGATTTAAACTGTGGGTAGACATTGCTCTGGGTATTTTCTGTAAAGACCTGAAGCTAATTAGATACTTTTTCACTTTTACAGGGGGGCCATGGCCAGTTAATACAACTGTCACTGAATAATTGTTTTCATTGATGTTGTTTTCATCTGAATGTTTCCATAGGTTGAGTTTTGATATTCCCATCAGAGTCATTACTGCAATTTTTTGTCACAGTCTACATTAACTCATCTTTACATATGCCAAAGCCACCTCTTGGTAAACGTGAATATACCCATGCAGCTTGCTAATCAGGTTTACACCAGGCGCCCAATGCCATGAGGGCTCAGCTGAGTTTACACAGAAACACAGAGGGAATCAACCTTAGCCAGTGGCAAATCAATACCTGCACTGGATGGCTGATCTTCAAGCACAATGAGGTGTATATCTAATCAGGGAAAAGGTTGCATTCGACACCTGGCCCTATTAGCTTCCTTTGGCAAGAGTCTGGATGTGATTCCATGATTTTAATCTATTTACAAGGAAATTAAAGCTGGGCAATGAGCTTGTGAAAATAATTTTATTAATAAATATACATTTATAATATATATTTAAAATGTCATAAAATTGTATGCGCATGCCAGTTGCAGCTTTTGGAGATGAAATTGGAATCGGCAGGTCAGACAGAAAAAACCCCCCAGAATTAGCCAAGAAAATTGAAATCTGTACATCTCTGTTTTAAAATGAAAAACACCAACTTACAGTTTGAAATTACTATAAAAATGTACAAAAACCAGAGTATTCACATATAATTTCTTGGAGAAAACAAATGACGATGTAAGACAGGACGGCATGTTTTTCCACCATTGGAAAAGAAGAGGGGTTATCACAGGTAATAAATCTAAAATGAGATTTTGCTGACTTTATGCAGACAGCTGAAACTGCTTGAGGGAAATGACTTGCCAAATATACACAAGAAATGGTGCCAATGTTTTGCCACCACTCAACAATGGAATTGCTTTTCTGTCTTGCCTAGATGTAATCAATGAGGTGAGCAGCCTTTCACCGTCATAAAATGGCAAAGTCTGAAAAGCAACATATGGTCTGAGCTTCTCTAAACTTGTCCACTGGAAATAAACACAGGCACATATGCTGTAGTGTCATTATTTCACCCAATGGCTAATCTATGGTCACTCCTCATAGTAGGAAATATGCAAATATACCAAGAAAAAAGTCATCAATGGCAGAACAATATTGCTGGTACACAGTAGTCCCCAGAGACAGACCAGAAGTCAGCAATGAAAGATGAAACTAAAATAGTTCAGTGGTGTTTTGCTGAGGTATGTCATTGTTGTATCTATTTTAAGAAAAAAATCTACAGAGACAATTTCCAATACAACACTTGTAAAAGAGCTCCACATTGCTGTGACTGTAAAAAACAAAAGCTCAATTCTTTCTTTCAGATACAAAAAATTACTTTATGCTAGTAGCTCAGGCAGCATAGATATTACCCTCACACGTTTAATGATCTCCAAATGCACACTTATACAGTTTACCTAAAAATAATTTTTACAGTTATACCGATTCGTTGTGTCATTGTTGCAATGAGTTGTGAACTGAAGTGTTAATTATTCACTGAGAGGTTAAAACAAACAAAAAAAAAGGTTCACCATCTGCTATGGCTACCCAGCATGCAGCATGCCGACAGTGTGTGAGGGACCTGTGGGACTCTCCGTGGCTGTACGCAGTGTATCTTCACAAAATCTACAGAGACACATAACCACCCTACATATGCTACTGCTCAACACTCCAAGAATGGTTTCAGCCTCACAGCCCAGCTCCACTGAGACAAGCTTAACTCTCTTTTATGTCTGGTGTTGTGCATGGGTAACACAATCATAACATACAAAACTCACTTCCTCTGAAAAGAAAGGTTATAACACAATGAAATGTTTCCATCTGTCAGACAGGTATTAAATATAGCTGTATGACAATTAGCGGTCTAACGATACAAGCAGCTCACGATTTGGTTCAATGTACAATACAGGAAACATGCATTAGCAGAGCACCAGGGGACAAAATACATTAACCTAAAAGCCTTGCAGTCTACACCGTTTGATTTAATTGGTAGGCATCAACCATCATCACTCACATGGAGGTATTTTGGCTTTAAAAAGACGTTGCTCAAAAGATGATAATCTGCAAACTGTGCTGGAAATAATTTGCTGCTAAAGACAACTGAACACTTGTTTTACCATCTGCAAACTAACCACTGCACAGAAAATGAAAAGCTTCAGGAGAAAGCTGTCCACGACAGGACGAAACCCCCCAACGTACCAGCCCAAAAAAACACAATCAGCAAACCTTAGCTGAACCATTCTGCAAAAGTGATTTCAATGTTTGTGTATTGTTGTACTTGACACTTCAATTACTCAGTTCTAAGTAAATAAATAAAACCCGTTTTCCTTTCCAGGAGAGCCAGTGAGAAGAGCTTAGAACAAAAGCTGAAAAAAGTCTGGATGAGGTGATGATATCCTGCAGTCACAAGCATTCATGGGAAAAAAACAGCCTAAAAGGTCAACATCATGCCAGATCTGACCCATTTACCTGACAGAGCCACCTCTGCATTCAAACAGACTGCTACTATGTTAAGTGAAAATATCTAATGGTTTGACAATGCTTGCCTTGAGAGATGCTGCTGAACATGAATCTCAGACAGAAAAATCGCTGATGGCTACATCAACACAGCCACAGTATGTTCCACAGAAATCCACTGCTGCCTCCTCCACTTTATTAATTTTCCACAAAGCTGAAAACTTTGTCACCACAGGCAAAGAAAACAGAAAGTCCATTTAATCTTTCATATTTCCTCAGCCGATAAGAAACCCGGCCCTCCTGCGTACCGAGTCTGGATAATAGGTTGATTCCTGATTGCAAGGTGATTAGAGAAAAATATAGCCACTGCTGGCATGGGATTAATGCACGACTCATGGAGAAGACAACCAAAATAAGCAATTTAAAAGGCTTCATGCTGCAGGGTAAAAGCCCTCATTTTCTCTTCATTCAACATCATGTTTTTTGTTTTCCATTTTGAGATCTTACTGACATATTAGCCACCATGTCACTTCCCTCTTGTTGTTGACTTCTGTTAAGACCTGAGCCAGCAACTTGGGTCAGGTTTTGTTGTGTGTTGAACTGCATCGTGTCTACCTACGAGCATGCACTGAGCAGTGGTGTCATTTAAAAAAACAAAAAACAAAACAAAACAAAAAAACACTGTCCATTGTTCTTCCACCTAAAACACTCAGCAATTTCAGCAGATGGGAAAATACATTAGGCTTACATTTTAGTTATCCAACGAACATGAGAAATAGGAGTGACACTTCCCCACAGACTGCTAAACAGTAAGCTATAGTCAAGTCAGTTCTTATTTATATAGCCCAATATCACAAATTTGCCTCCAGGGGCTTTACAATCTGTACAGCATATGACACCCTCTGTCCTTACACTCACAGGAAGAGCAACAGAGGAAGGATCCTTCTTCCAGGACAGAAGGAAATAACAGATTTACAGTATGGACAATCAGAATGACAAAACTGTATTTTGCAAACATATACTAAGATCACTGTATATGCTGAAGGACGAGCCAGCTTCCAGGTGCCTCCAACAGACCCGAGCCACACGTCTTCCCCTCAAAAGACTGGGCTATATGTTACAGCTCAGGTCACGCCACTGACAACATGATTAATTCTGTGCATGCTGCAACATTGCTGAACTGCACTTGAGGCAAGTTCTGACACAACTAATACAAACCTGCACTGTTAGGTGTTAGGCAGACTCACATACTGATTGACCAGCAGCCAGTTCAACAAACCTTACTGCCCTTTCAGTGGGTCTGATTTCATTAATAAATTAGTACACTTGATTAAAATTTTAAGGGAAAAGTATACCCTTAAAACTCCTGTAATTCCTATCCAGCATGAACAATGCACCACACCACAGTGTGTGTTTCCCCCTCTGATACAGAGAGGATTTTACCATGAGCCATCTTCTAGTGCTGCTGTTGGGCAGTTTCTATGACTCACATATCCAGGTAGTGGTGGGTTTTGGCTCTCACTTCCCTGTCACGTCGACTAATCCACTTTCACCTGCTCAGCGGTCACCTCCGCCACCTGCTTCGGAAAACCTAACACGAATTCAACGTATTAACCTAATTTAAAACAAAAAAAACCTACCATGTGAAACCCAGCAGGGTAGGACAGACTATGAAACACATCTAATGTTTACTTTGTCGCTAATGTTTACTTTTTCTGCGGAATAACTTCACTGTTAATTGGTCAGCAGTTAATGGAGAATAAATGAAGGGCTTCATCTTTAACAGGGCGTTCTCCCTACGTACAGACTCTTAGGAAGGAAAATAACTTACAGGGCTTTTTTTACACAATGTTTATGTGACTACCACGCTCACTCAGCTTCTTCTTATCTTATAGAAACTCTTCCAATCAAGCCACATGAAATTATTTAACCTATATTTCAGCTAGAACTTAACCTTTCTGTTTGTTACTTAACTCACCAAGACGCTGGCAGACAGAAAACATACAGGCTGAAGCGTCTTCAAGTAAAATTGTAGTTCGTGGAAAATATAATAGAGAAACTATTAAATGTGTAACTCACAATGTTAAGCGGAGCGGTGTCCAGAGTTTGCTTCCGAGTGGAATGTTAGCTGTTGTCACAGAGCGTGAGCACCGAGGACAATGTAGAGATTCATCGCCACGCTCTGTGGTCTCAAACCCCGGAGCAACGTACACTCCACGAGAGCTGCCCATACCGTAATGACATACGCTCACACTAAAACGCACATTCCATTCCGTTTACCGTAATCCATAGACTAGCACTTAACCGTGGACGTGGTCAACAGTAAATAATACTGCTAGTTTACCAGTCAAGAGAAGCGGGCAACTACCTTTTAGGAGCAATACCCTTAGACTGAAAGAGAGTTTTTTGTCTTTTAGTCATTTTGCATCTCTGCGGCCATTTTGCTCCTGTTTTTTGTTATTTTGGGTTTTTGTCGTCATTTTGCATCTCATTTTAATCATTATGTGTCTATAGTAAGATAAAATGTAAAATATTTATTTGAAGATTATCCACTAGATTTGCACTAATGTATTTATTTGCAGTCTTGCGCATGGAACACATTTATCTTTTTGGCATCTGAAAAGCATCTTTGCTGCTTTGTATGGGCAGTTGTTCTATGAGTGGGACATGGGCTTGTTCCTCCCTGTCAAATAAATACACAGTGGCCCTGAGGTGCAGAACATCCTGTCTAAATCTGTGTAATTGTTTTATGCTGACTCTAAACTATCCACCTATCTTTTCAGAAAACAAATGAGTAGTTGGTGTGATAAAAAAAAACTACTTCCTACTATCCGTGATATTTCTACATCAAGGATTTCTTAATATTGCAGAACAGTTACAGTTTAACAGCCATCTATTTCCACATTTTGTCTTCAGAGCCTGTCTTTAATTGCTTTTTTAACAACATCTAGGATACTTGTGCAGGTGCTAATAAAACAAGCTCTTCAGCTTTGAACAGAGGTGATGAGTTGGAGGAAGGTCCTCTGAGGATTTGCTGGCAGAATTAGAATGAAAGCTGTGGGAGAGGAAAGGTACACAGAGGTTGGCAGCATGATGGAGTAGCACACATAGAATGGCAACATGCACACATTTCTCTGTACGAAATGAAAGAAATATCAAACACGCTGCTTGAATTGCAGGTAGAAATGGGCCGAATCTTGTCTTTTTCTTTTGCTGCTTATCTTACATCTACTGTGACACCACGACCACAAGAAAATCACAATCAATTTGTAATTTTTAAATTGGGATTTAGGTTACTTTAATATAGCCCCATTTGATGCACTGACAGAATGAATTGCTTTACATTTCTGGTTGTTGTTGAATAGACATCAGAATTTTATTGCTACAGTATAAAACAGTTCTCAAGATTATTTGTTCAGTGTTGAGTGAAGACTGAGAAAAACTGTTATGTAGCTGTTCAGTGGAGGAACAGTGATGTGTTATATAATTATTAGGAGTGTTGCTCCATTGCAGGTAAAACTATCTGGTGCATGTTTGAAAGCATGTAAAAATGTTGGCTGGAGAATATTGCTGCAGCAGTATTAAAAGTTAGCTAAAGTTAGTTAGAGTCTTGTATACTGTTCTTATACATGCAGGTAGGTAAAAATAGCTGACTTGTTCAGACTGTAATTTAGATTTTGGCCACTTGAAAAACCAAAATGTGAGTACTCTAAGAGAAAAAAATAATCTGGTACAAATGTGAAGAGTGTAAATCAAAATATTCAAGGATATTTGAAAAAGCAGATTCACTGGCAGAAAACAAATTCAACTTACAGTAGTGAACAGTGATTAACAGTGACAGAGATGTTACAGTAATATTCATAATATAGACAAATGTAAGCATTACTGAGGAAGTCCACTTCCAGTAATAGTTCAATTTTTTTACCTTTAAACATCTGTTTTTACAGAACATGGGTCTTGTTATTAAAGATTAAAAATCCCAGTTGTGGGAATACCATATCAAAGACTAATAGAAAACATTTGATATCAGGACTGTGTTTATGTTTCAGTGGCGTTTTTATCCTTCTGCATAGGATAGAGGGAATGATGATGAGAGGTTACATGTGACTGGCATGCAGGGGCAGTTTGTAAGAGATGGGAAGTGCAGGAGATGGCAGGTGTCTTGTAGACTGGGTAGACTGGTGTGACAGAAGCAAAGATCTGTGAGCACATTTTGAGGGGTAAGACATGGTTTGGGTGGAAAGACATGAGGGGTTGAGACAAGAATGTTTTTACTTTCTTTTTTTATTATTATTATAGCATTTTTCAACATGTGCCATTTTTAGCCTGCAGACAGAGGCATGTGCACACGTGCTGTGTGCGATTTGAGCAAAGCACAAGAAAACAGGGGCTCTAAGAATGGGGCTGGTACTGTATGTGGGAGGCATGTATTCTTTGTCTTCACCCACACTCAAACCTGTCAAACAAGCAACACCCGATCAGTCGGGTCCTAGTATCACGGCAGTCAGTTTCTTGCCTCTTGCCCAGTCTTTCTCAAATGACACTGTATGGAACGACATGTCTGATTATTGTGGATAGAGCAAAGGAGACGTAACAGTGAAACACATCATGCATATTCACTGATTTGTTAATATGCCGAGTGAACAACAGGAAAGTGCAACAATACTTTATCATTCTTTAAGTTTGAATAATTGTCTCAGATCGTTCCAGTTAATAATGGCCATGTTTCTGGGACTCTCACTGCTTCACACTTCTTTATGTTTTGTTGCAGTATTGTAACTAAATAAATAAATAGATAAATAAATAAACTGTGGGGAGAAACAGAAATCCATTTATTCCACTGAAATTGTGAAAACATATTTCCTGTAAAGCAAGAAAATCAGGGTTCTTGGTCAACTGACTATGAGATCCAAAAAAAAAAGATAGATAACAGGGTAAACATAGAATACAGTATGCATTACATGTAGTCTCAGGTTATCACTTCCATTTACTGAATGCCTCGGGTGACCTTGGTGATACCAAGGTCTTGTTATCACCTCACTTCCAGACACTCTTCTTCAGCTAATCATATTAGACAGCCCACCAGGCATTACTCTTAAATTCCCGAGCTGTGCGTCATCTCCTATCACATCCCAGGATTCCTGGATGTTTTCAAAGCCAGAGTTATCTCTTGCATATTGTAATCATGAGGTCACAAAATGTTATTCTCTTAATCCTTCCTTGCCTTAAGCCAGCAAGATATGCTGTTCAAGAGCAAGACTGTGATGTTTTTTTTATTTTAACAAATGAATTATTTAGGGTTGTTACCTCTGGGCTTAGAAAACTGAAACCAGTCATCAGAACAGGAAGACTATGGGAAATCGATGAGGACAGTAACTTCCTGGAGGAGAGCAAGAATCAGCCAATACTGTCTGCAACTAATAACGACAGGTGAAAGGAAGCGTTGAAGCAGGCACTGAACAAAATGAAGAGAAGAGGTGATTTCTGAACAAATGTGTACATGGAGAGAATGTTATTGAAAAACCTGCTCTCTGCTTGACATCGTCCAATATGGTTGTTATTCACAAACTTTATTGTATCAGGAGTACAAGAGCCCTCGGGGGCTGCCCCTTTCATCACATGTAAACACAAAAATAGATGTTGCAGAGGTGGAGTAGGGTGACGAACACAGGACAAGCAGCAGTCATCTGTGTTTAGATTTAGCTGATTATTTATCAGTGAGAATGTGCCATGGGCCTAGCTTCAGTGCAACAGTTCCTTCAAAGTGGCAGGAGGCTTAGTAAAAAATGCAAAACAAAATGTAGGACATACACAACCAAGATACTTTAGCAGCTTAAAGGCAAACAACCTAAATGCAAAAAGGTCTTAACCACAATCTTGAAACACCTGTGGAAAACATACCTGAACCTGACACGTATAAATTAATTTTCAAAAAATCTGATTTGCACCAAAAAACAGCCTGAATAGACCTGAGGCTAGTTAGCTCCAATATGTCGCTGACAAACAGTGACTCCTAGGAAGCTAATTACCAGCTGCATTTTTTTCTTGCATGTGACAGTCCCATTTTTTTTTACAGCAATTACAGAAATTGTGACTTGACCTGACTCAACACAAATAAATATTTTAGCAACACAGGTCCAAATTATTCCATTACTTTACATTGTTAAACGTTGGCCTTGTATGTTTTTACAAATTATTTTAAGTGTAGCCAGCAAGTTTGTTTATCCAGTGTGTCTGCTTACTGACCTGGCCTCCACCAGACTTGACAAATGCACCTGGCTCATCTTTTGCCCCGGCTGCATACAGATTGTATAATTGGGTATTATATAAGGATTAAGGAACTGGAACTCTTTTGACATGAAGGAGGTCTCTGAGGCTTTGGCACATTGTGTTGCTACGTGGGATCCACCTAATATGTGGCACCTAAGCTGCTCTTCTTGCGGAAACAACAGCTTCTTTCAGGTATAATTAAATTTCCTCTAAGGCAAGAGCTATTTTTAGAACCTGGCTCTTATTTGTTCCATGCAGGAGAAAATTATTAACCCAAGCACAGGCTTAATTCATATCTGAGTGCGTTTCTACCTCCCAGCTGTGACAACAGAGGCTGAGTAGTTGACCCAAAGGGTCTGAAACAGATTTTATATCATCTATGAACATAAATGTTTCACAAGCTGAAAGATGTCCCCGGGGTGTCATAGCAGAAATAAAAATAAAGAGTACATGGAAATGTAAGCTTTAGTATAAGTTGTCGTCAGGTTTCAGCTAGAATAAAACAGATTAATTCTAATAAATTCAGGTTTGAAATGAAAAGAGGTGTTGGCTGTGTCATCAGCTGACTAGATACACAAACAAGACTGCATGCTTTGAAAACACCAACAGAGTTTGACCCTTTTAAACCAATATTTTCAAGTGTAACTGATCAAAATGACCCTGTAACACCCACTTCAGTGCATGGCACGCTCACCACACTCTACAGCCTCTAGAGTAAATTTATGACTTCCTGCACACTGCGGCGTATGCTTTTACAAGAGGTTTCATCATAGGGAAAAAATAGTTCAGTGTAAGGGGTGGGGTGAGTAATTTCACAGCTGGTGGGGGCTAGCTTATCTCCTCTCCTCCATCCACGAACACTGAGCATAAACAGTAGTATCACAACACAGTTGATTCTAACATATACAAGATCTCACAAGGAAAAAGGGTAGTAGTATTAGCAATGTCAGCTGAGCTTGGCTGAGACTCACCCCCCAACCGT